TTGGCTTTTCTTCATTGACCTCTTTTTTTAAGACTTCTTCCTCTACTTCCCACGGTTGCAAATCCTTAAGACTATCAAGCTCTCTCAAGCATTTATCTAGAGCTTCCTCTTCTTCAAGAGTGAAAACTTCAAAGGAGTCATTAAGGGCTAGCTCCATAGGGGTGATGTCGTTAACATGCTTTGCAACTTCAAAGGAAGCTTCCTCAATTACGTCAACTCGGAAACTATCATGCTTGTCCTTTGAATGCTTCATTGCTTCAAAAAGGTCAAAAGTGACATCTTCGTTTTGAACTCTTACCTTCATCAAACCGTCATCCACATCAATCATCATTCGAGCGGTTTTCATGAAAGGCCTTCCAAGAATCAAAGGCGCATCATCATCTTCCTCCATATCAATCACAATAAAATCCACCGGGAAGAAAAACGTGTCCACTTTAACCAACACGTCTTGAGCTACTCCTTGAGGATGAGTAGTAGACTTATCGGCTAATTGTAACGTCATGGATGGACTTAATCTCAATGTTGCCAAGCTTTTTCACGATAGACAACGGGATAAGATTTATGCTCGACCCCAAATCAATCAATCCTTTTCCAACATAAACGTCACCAATGGTAAACGGCAATGTAACTCTCCCCGGATCAACTTCCTTTCTTGGTAGAGTACGTTGGATGATAGCGCTACAACTTGCATCGAGTACTATTGTTTCCGGTTCCGTGTACCTCTGCTTCTTTGTAAGTATGTCCTTCATGAATTTGGCATACTTCGGCATTTGTTCCAAAGCTTCGGCGAACGGAATATTGATTTGTAATTGTTTAAAAATGTCCATGAACCGTGCGTAATGCCGTTCATTTTCTCTCCTAGATGGAGCGTGCGGGTAAGGCAAATTTTGAACCGGAGTGGTGCTCACCATCTCCTTGCTTCTAGATGCTCTTGGGTTCCTTTCTCTTTTCTTTTTCACTTCATCCACTTTTTCTTTATTATTTTCATTATTTTCAACTTCACCATTTTTTTTATTTTCAACTCCAACCACTATGTCTTTTTCAACTTCACCATGTTTTTCTTCATTTTCTACTTCCTCCTCACTCCATTCTCCAACTTCACCATCAAGTTTATCATCAATTTTTTTCTCTACCTCTTTTTTTTCACTCTCGTCAATCAACTCCCTCCCACTTCTCGTCCTTATAGCCTTACAATGCTCCTTCGGATTTGTTTGCGTATTTGCCGAGAAAGATGGTCCGGCTTGTTGTTCCGCTAATTGCTTAGCGAGTTGACCAACTTGAGTCTCTAGATTTTTTATAGCCGCATCATTACTTTTTTGGTTTGCCATAGACATTTGCATGAATTGCGTCAATGTATCTTCTAGCTTAGAAGTCGCAACCGGCGGTTGTTGAGGTACATACGGATTTTGACGGTTAGAGTTTCCTCCCCCATAACCTTGGTTATTGTGGTAGTTACCTCTAGGTTGGTATCCTTGATAGTGTTGTTGTTGCTGTTGTTGAGGATGATGGTATGGTTGTTGTTGTGGTTGCCTTTGTTGGTAATCTCTCTGGTTAGCCATGTAGTTCACTTCTTCGAATCTGGGAGGCGGACAAAATCCAGTATCATGTTCGCCTTTACAAAGCTCGCAACAAGATATTTGTTTAGCTTTTGACGGTTCTTTTAGCTCCTTGATTTGTTGAGTTAAAAGTTCCACTTGTTGTGAGATGAGCTTGTTTTGCGCAAGTATAGCATCATTTGTTCCTAACTCAAGCACACCCGGCTTTCTTTGAGCTACCCCTCGGTTGTGGTTCCCTTGGTGATCATTAAGTGTCATTTTATCAATGATCGCAGTTGCATCTTCGGTGCTTTTTGACATTAAAGAACCTCCCGCCGTTGCATCCAATAGGGTCTTATGAACCGAAAGGAGTCCATTTCGGAAAATATGAATTTGAGTTAGCTCATCGAAACCATGTCCCTTGCATTTTCACAACATAGATTTGTAACACTCCCACGCTTCATTGAGTGATTCACTAGCTCCTTGCGAAAATACCGCAATTGCAGTTTTAGCCTCCATGAACCGGTTATATGGAAAGAACCGTTCAAGAAACTTTTCTTCTAAGAGATTCCAATCGGTCATGACTGTTGTCGATTGGTCAAGATACCACTCCTTCGCTTTCCCAATTAAGGAATGAGGGAATAATCTCCTAAACAATGACTCTTCGTCAGCTTCGGTAGCTCCAGTTGCGCCCGCAATCTCATAAAATTTTGTAAGATGAGTAAACGGATCCTCATGGTCTAATCCTGTGAAAGGATTTTGATAGACAGGAGCTAGGATTCCCGTTTTCATTTCCACTTGTCTTCCATTTTGGAGATTACGTGCAAACTGAGCTGTATGTCTGGGACTGTTTGTGCATGGAGTAGAAACTGGTGGAGGGGGTGGTGGTTCTGCCATGATTGGTGTGAAATGTGGTAGTGATGTGGTAGTCGAAGAACTTTCTCCTTGATTTTGTCTTTGCCTGGCTTGTTGCCTCCTGCGTCTTGCTCTATTGTTCAGTCTCCTTGCGGTTCTTTCGATCTCAGGATCAAAAAGAATTTGGTCCTTAGGAATCTGTCCTCGCATAAACAAGGGCTGCACACTAACCAAACAAATTACAAGCACAAGTAAAAATGTCAAAACTAAAAATTCGGCAACTATTGCGATGCTAGCAATATCAATTTATATTCCCCGGCAACGGCGCCATTTTGTTAGAACAACAACAAAATCTTATATTCCCTGTGGAGACGATAATATAAACCCGACGCTTAACCACTGTTCTAACAATTACCCGCAAGAAGTATTGCTACTTGGGAAGAGATGGAGAAGGCCTTTCTTAATGATTATTTTCCCGCCTCTGTGTATATTCGTAAAAGATATGATATCATGAATTTTAAACAGAAGGAGGGAGAATCATTGGGCGATGCGTATAAAAGGTTCAAACGTTTATTGGTTGCATGTCCTACTCATAACCTGGATAAAACTGAACAAATTCAAATGTTTGTGAATGGTATCAAGATGAAGACTAAGAAACTAATTGATACAGCAACTGGTGGCTCATCAAACTTTACAACAACCACTAGTATTAAGAAGATCATTGAAGTCCTTGTTGCAAATGAGCATTTGGAACTATATGACCGTAGTGTGAGTAAACCTGAAGGAACGATTGATTTGAGAATGGCTACTCAAGTTGTGAAAATGGAAGATCAAATCAAAGTTGAAGTAGAAAGAAGGCTTAAAGCAATTAATGTAAGTACTTAACCTGTGGCTCAAGTTCAACCTATCCGAGCTGTGAGTTGTGAGATTTGTAGTGGACCCCATTTTACTGTGCATTGTGTTGTGACTGCTCAACAAATTGAAGAGATAAAGTTATTGAAGCAGAATAATCTCTATTCTCATACTTATAATCCCGGGTGGAAGAATCATCATAACTTCTCCTCGAAAGAGCAAAATCAACCTCCATATCAACAGCAGCAACAGGCTCCTCAGAAAGCAGAATGTGAAATAGCTTTTGAAAAGATGGCAGCTCACAATATTCAATTCTAAGAAGAGACACAGAATAATCAGAGGAACATCACAGCTTCTATAAAACATCTTGAATTTTATATAAGACAAATAGCCCAACAACTCTCCACGCATACTCAAGGAACCCTCCCGAGCGCGACAATACAAAATTCTAGAAATCATTAGAATGATAATGTTGTCACCGCAAGAAGTCAGAGAGTCGTGGAAGAAGAGGAAGAAAAAGAAATAAATTATTATCAGTGTATAGACGTTGAGCTTGAAGTGAGAGAAAACGGGAAAGAAGGAAGAGTCTTACCACCTATGAATCCAACTAAAGAGAAAAAGGAAGAGGAGGTTAAACCAAAAATCAAGCTACCTTACCCTCAGAGAGTTACAAAGAAGGATCAGAAAGAGAAAGATTTTGAAAATTTAAGCACGGTGTTCAAAAAATTAGAAATCAATATGTCGTTCTTTAAAGCACTTGAGAAAATTCCCTTGTATAAGAAATTCATGAAAGAGGTAATGGAAAAAAAGAGACCAAGCAGTGAGGAGCAAAAAATTTCAACTGAGCGGTGTAGTGAAATATCACAAGGAAGGGGAATCCCCATCAAGCGGAAAGATCTTGGACCCGTAGAAATTCCTTGCACTATAAAAGATAGAACTTTCAAGAAGATCCTCATTGATTCAGGTGCTAGTGTGAGTCTCACGCCTTTATCTATTTTTAAAAAGCTGGGTATTGGGAAAGTGAGCGATACGAGAACAAACTTGAAGTTTGTCGACCACACAACTAAGAGGTCATATGGGCTAACAGAGGATGTAATCGTGACGATTGATAACTTTACCTTCCTAGTTGATTTTGAGATTATGGATATTCCAGAAGATGAAGAGACTCCCATCATAATTGGCCGACCATTCTTGCTTACTAGTTGGTGCAATGTTAATATTGAAACAGGTACTCTAACCTTGAGATCTTTTGATGAGGAAATAACTTTAAAAGTGTTGGACATCAAGAAGCAAGGTAAAGAGGAATATAATCAACCTTTAGTTGGAATGATCAAAACAGTGAAAAAAGGTAAAAGTTCAAAACCACTTCTGGAAAAAGTCTCTGGTGTAATTTATCAGGTTGAAATATCTCAAGCATCCAAGGCACATAGCGGGACTCCAAAAGTCATTCGAGGAGTCAAGAATAGAAAAGTTGGATGTGATTTGACCAGAACTGCTAAGGCCTCAGACTCTGGAATCTTCAAAACTATTCTTCTACAAAGGGACAGTCTAGTAAATATACAGAATACTTGGAATGAAATACTGCAAACAGGTAAATTCCTTGGGAGAAAAGTATATCAAAGTCTTCTACCTATTACTCCTAATCTTACATGGGCTAAACTTATTCTTCACAATAGAGCCAGACCCCGGGCAATTATTACTCTATGGATGATCTGCCATGACAAGCTACCTACCAAGGCTAGACTCTTTAGACTAGGTATGCTCCAGAATAACAAATGTGGGTTCTGTAATGAAGAGGAAACCATTGATCATTTATTTTTCTGTTGTTTCAAATTGAAGCAAATATGGAGTGGTGTTCTTCAATGGATGGGCATTCAACGCATCCCAACAAGATGGAAAGAGGAAATGCAATGGGCTCTGAGAAATTATGGTGGGAAAGGCTGGAAATCTGATTTATTTAGGCTTGCACTCGCGGAAACTCTTCACGAGCTCTGGATGTATCGGAATGATTCCTGTTTTAATCAAAGAACAGATAATAGGAATTGCCTAGATAGTATTATAAACAACATAGTATATAGAGGGTGGACTAGTCCTAAGCTTAGACCACATATAGCTAGGTTACTATTACCTTAATTAGTTTGTTTGTTGGCTGGATCATGTGATCGCCTTGGATTGTAATGTGATTTTTGAGTTAATACCATAATTTTTGATTCAAAAAAAAAATTGTGTTTATCTCTGAACCTGACCGGTCCCTTGTTGCGGAAAGGTCAAGCAACAAAGTGTGGAAGCTGAGATACCCCCTATAACAATGGGGAGTGATTCGTCGAGCCATGTGACGTTAAAAGAAGCGTTGCGTGGGAGGTAACCCATGTTTTTAATGATTAAGCATTTTCTTTTTGTTGTTATTTTGTTTCGTTTGTAGGTAATAAACAAGACCTTATAAGATAGAGTGTTGCATTACCATCCAACTCCTCAGTAAGGATCTCTGTGAGTACATATCTCCCACTCCTGTTCTAAAATATTGAGGACAATGTTTAGTTCAAGTTTGGGGAAGTCTTTATTGTTTTGAGTTTTTATTTTAAGTACTTTGTAATTGCGTTTGGGTCCTTTCGTTGAAAAATCGCTTTGAACTCTCCCGATGAGGACCGTAAAAAAATTTCTTGTGAATACTGTGATGTGTGAAGTAGTCAGGAAAGTATATAGAGTTTGAGGGAAGAAAAGTTGAAACTAGGGAATTTTGGAAAGTTTGGAGATCGAAGTATAACCTGAACACCCTAGATTCCCCGAAGTAAGGTAACGAGTCCAACATGTAGATGTGTGTCATAGTACTTGGATTTGAGAAGTATTCTCCAATTAGTTCATAGTGATGGTCCGACATGATTAAAAATAATCGCATGTATAAAGTTGATTGAGAGAATGACTTATGGCACCCAAAAAAATGATGAATAATGACGGTAAAGACAACTGGTCCTTCTAAGTTGGGTAACTCTTACTCGGTTACTTAGCCTAACGGCGGTTGAATCTCTATAGTATTTCCAAAGTAGATTAATAAACGCCAATGCGCGAAAAAAAAAAGAATAAAGGTACCTCGAAAAAGTCTTGATCCAATCTTATACATGTGAGGGAAAGTGATCATAAGTGCCTTAATCTGATTATCTGAATGAAGAGGGTAGAAAATCGAAGAAAAGACTTAAGCCCAAAGCATAGTTGAAGAGGTGACCGAAAGGGGGATTTAGGTCTGTGGTTTTACTGCGATATGTATTTGTGTAATACCTTTGTTAACGGACGATTACCAAGAGAACTAGTTTTAGCCGATCGGAACAAAGACTCGCGTATGAGTATCGACACACCTTACCGTCACAAGTCTTTTATTTGATGTGTACCATTTGATCTGGAAAATGTTTATCTAAGCTTGTTACTTGAGGTCAAACAACGGTTTAAGTTTGGGGGAGTTTGATCAATGGTTTTTATACAATATTTTACCATGAGTTTTAGTAATCGTCTTATGTGTTTAGTTGCATTTTATTTCCTTTTATCGCATTTTATGTGTTGGTTTAGTATTTCCATTGTTTTTAGGTTCAAGTAAGCAATCAAGAAGAATCAGAGCAAAAACCGAGAAAAACAACATGAATTCGGAAGAGTTTTTAAAGGGGAACAGTGGCCTGACACGGTCACCCGCGTAGGTGACACGGTCCGTGTCAAGAGGGTACCAAGAGAAAGAAAATAAAGTTTTAGACAGTGGGATGACATGGGTGCTTGTCTCACTTGACACGGCCTGTGTCAGCAAGTCTGGAGTAGACAATTTTTATATTAGATATTTAGGGGGCCAACACGGTCGCCCGTGTCAGCTGACACGTCCCGTGTTGGCTGAAGCGCTTCATCTTCCAATTTTCTTATTTTTTGGACCTTTGTGATCCCTAAGGGTATTTTGGATATTTTGGGTATTTTTTTATTACTGTGTTGGACCTGAGAGTATTTAAGACAAATCTCGGGAAGGAAAAAAGGACTTTTTGGCCAGAGAAGAATTACACGATCAAGATTGGAGAGATCAAGGTGATTGGGAAACTGAAGGTTTTCATGAGCAGAAACAATTGAAGATCAAAGAATCCTATTATCTTATAATGTCTAGTTTTTGCTTTGTATTTTCTTCGAATATTATGAGTAGTTAAACCCCCCAATACTAGGGGGTGTCCCTGATTTGGATTTGTAATGACTCTGATATTAGTATTGCAATAACATTCCTTTGTTTTCATAACTGATTTGACCTCTAGCTATTCTTAATGCTTGCCCTGTCGGACCAACAGGATTTAATTTTCGATTAATGATTAGGTTGGACCGTCGTTGTTAATGCTTTGTTTTGGATCGTTTTGTAGTAGATATCACCTAGGACTAGGGATACCTTATAGGAACTAGAATATTCTTGATAATTGATTGCTTAATCTCATTTATAAATTCTCTATGGACAAGGAATTAGGGTAGATTATTAAAGGTTTTCTCACTAAGGACTTAGGAGTAAATATTCTAAAGAATCGGTAATTAGTTAGTTATAATAAGTTGTTGCAGTGTTAATTCAGAGTTGTTACTGAGTCGAACATACACTTCCCCTAGCATGTTACTCATATATTTTAAAATCGCTTAGTCAATTTCCCTCTTTTACTTGAAAATTTATAATAATTAAACAAAACAATTTTAAAATCCAAGTGCTTTTGTTCAACTGAATTATTTTAAAGCTTGTATTTCCTATGCAGTCCTCGAGACCGATATTCGGGGAAATCCCCCTTATTACTACATTGGCAAAATAGTACACTTGCTATTTTTACCGATTATCTATTTTCTTATAACTCATATCTAATCTTTTGTAAGAACTTTCTGAGTATAGTGAATTGGAGAGCTGCTCTCTCCCCTATAGTAGATCATTTGGTCAAACTGGGTAAACAAACATTTGGTTTTTTCTTGCCTTATTCTGTTATATCATCTGTGTACGAATTATTATTGCTGAAGACCATTTATTTTGGTTGTTATTGTTCTTTTCCTCACAAATTGATATTGAATTTTATCGTAATTCACAACAAGATTCACAATAGTAGAGATGTAGAATTTTATGATATCAATGGATGGAATTGGTTGAAAAATCCAACTATCTTAATGCAAGGTGAAGATTCAAGCTACATCATAACCACACTACAAGACGATGACCAAGAAATAGTGATTGAACCTACACAACCTCAAGAAGTGAGAAGATCAACAAAAGCCATAAATCAATTAATTAGATTGAATTATTATGAGATGTTTTATGATCAAGTTGTATGATAAAATGGTGATTTGGTTGAAGAGGCCATAATGGTTGAATCAGAACCAATTGATCATGTTTAAGCCATAAAAAATGAGAATTAGAATTGTGCAACCAATGAAGAGCTCAAGGCCATTGAGAAGACAAAAAACTCGGGAACTAGTCAGGTAATCAAGTAAGAAAGAAATAGATGTTAGACGGGTTTACAAGCTGAAGTTGAAGCCAAATGGTGAAATTTCCAAGTACATGACAAGGTAGGTGGAAAATGGTTTTATTTAAAAACCTGAAATTTATTTTAATGAAGTTTATGCACATGTGTCCAGACTTGAAACATTTAGACTAGTTATAGTAATTGCATTACATAAATATTGGAAGATTCACCAACTTGATGTGAAGTCAACCTTCCTCGATGAACCTTTAGAATAAAAAAATTATATGAAAGAAACCACCAGGTTTTCATGTAAAAAAGAAAAAGAAGATATGGTGTAAAAGCTAAGAAAAACTTTGAATGGATTGAAGCAAATAGCTAGAGCATGTAACAAGAGATTTAATATCTTATTGATCAAGATATATTTCAAAAGTTCACATCAGAACATGGAGTGTAAGTGAAAGGATTAAGTAAGCAACACCAAGTCATCCTTTGTCTCTATGTAGATGGTCTATTGATTACAAGTTCTAATGAAGATGAATTGGAAACGTTCCAGGCAAGCATGAAAATTGAGTTTGAAATGTGACACTTAGAAAATTTCACATACTTCCTAGGAATGGAAATTGTGAACATAAAGCATGGAGTTTCTTGGATTAGAAAAAATATGCAGAAGACATCTTGAAAAATTTAAAGATGAGCAATTGCAAACCTACAATCACACATATGGATACCAACATCAAATTAAAGGATTCACTATATGATCTGGTGGATATCATATGATACAAACATATCATTGGCTCTTTGAGGTTTCTTTGCTACACAAGATCATAAATTTGTCATATTGTGGGATTGGTTAGTACATTAATGGAGTAACTAAGGCCATGTCACCTACATACAGTAAAGAGGATCCTAAGATACATTAGAGATACAACTGGCCATGAAATACTCATGTCAAATAAATAAAACACAATAATGGAAACCAAGGTTTATGGCTATTCTAATTCAGGTCGCAATGGTGAACAAGATGATAGAAAGAATGTAATTGGTTATTTGTTCATGTTTGGACAAGTATCCATCTCATGGAGTTAAAATAACCAAGGAATTGTTGATTTTTCTTCATGCGAACTAGACAAAGTATGTTGTAACCTCTTATCCTTCATGTCAAGCACTTTGGTTGGAGATGCTACTTGAAGAGTTGAATCTAAACAATTGTATACAAATTAAGTTGCTAGTGGAAAATCAGTCATCAACTAATTTGATAAACCATCCAATGAGCCATGGAAAGAGGAAGCACATTGAAAGAATGTACCATTTTATAAGGAACTAAATTGTAAAAGAGAGGTTGAGAATTGAGTATTATAAAATTTAGTTGCAATTGGCTAACTTCTTAACAAAATATTGAAGCATGCAAGATTTAAAGGCCTTAAAGGGTTAATGGAAATAAGGATCTTGGAGAATCTGAATTTGGAACGGTATTAGAATATAATTAATTTTTAAATATAATTGTTTGTGATAGTTTGTAAGTGTTGCACTTGTAACTTACAACACAAGAAAAATGTCACAACTTGACAGTTAAATTTGTAAGTTAGTTTTAAGCATTAACAACCATGTAAACAAGCCTCATCTCATTGTACTTGTATTCATTATATTCCAATAATGCCTCTCTTTAAATTTCCTCTAATTCTCTCTAAAATT